GGTACGTGGTGGACGCCGCCGTTTGGTGTTGCGAGAATGCCAAGATGATTCGTCTATGGGTTGATCGGGTGTTTGAGGCTGCGGATATGTCTGTGCTTGCACTGTCTAGTGAGTAGTACTGTATATGCGTGGCCGTGCGTCAACCGGCGCGGCGAGGATCAAGTACCCGAGCGCCCTAGCGCGGATGCCACGGAGTTCCGAGTTCTTGGCCTCCGGCATCAGTCATCCTACAGCATGCAAAGAAGCTTGGCAGGCGGCGCCACCCGCTCGTCGTGCCCGCGGAAAAACCGCGTGGCAGGATCTGATCTCACCTTCGTGCCGGGTGCGCGTTCGGTCTCTATATAGTGTGTCAACCGGCAGATATGAGCGTGCTTCCTGCGAGCAAGCGAGCTAACGCGCGCTAAAGCATAAATTTTCAACTCTTCGTTCCGGTCGCGCACTTTCTGCTGGTGTGCTTTCGCGGTGTGCACGGATGCACACGAAGGTGCATCGGAATAGCCTGCGTTCGTACGCGGTCATGTACGTACGCGACCGTTCGTCTTCGTTCGTGCTCCTTGCATGCCAAGCCGTACGTATTTACTGCGCCTGCTCCGAACCCTTCCGCTTTTGTTCAATAGCAACTCCCATGCGATCAGAGGCAGCACATGCACCATCTGTATTCGGCGTTTTTCTAGCCGATACGCAGGCACCGACAGTCGCTCCGCGTCGAGCCTCGACGGCGACACTGTAGCGCGGCCCCGCGCTCCGACATGGTATTTTCTGATCATTGCTCGCCTTGGCTTCTAGCGAGTCACCATCCGATGGTACTGACGAATCGAAATTGTGCCCACGCGCTCATACGGCAGACAGCCTTCTCTCCGTGCCACCGGACATACGCTGACGCCTACTACGTTGTTAAATGCCGACCCCAGTTCGTCCAAATGAGCTCGTTCAACTCATCACAGCCACCATGGAGAGCGTAACACCTGCGACTTGCACAGCGCTCTGCGTTGGATGCCTCACCTACATTCTACTGAGAGCCTTCCGCACTTTCGCGGGCACCGGCAGTGCCCGAGGGCTTGCGAAGCTCCCTGGACCTCGCGGCTGGCCGTTCGTCGGCTACCTGCGTCCCGTCGAGAAACCCGTGAGTGCCATGTACAGACAGTGGAGCGAAGACTACAGTAAGCTCCGCTATGCCTCGTCGCCTTTTCACAAGTCCTCATTGCCAGATAGATTCCGACATAATAGGCGTGAACATGCTGGGGACCAACATCGTCATAGCGAACACCCTCAAAGTCGCAGCCGAACTCTTGGAGACTCGATCCGCCATCTACTCTGATAGGTATGTCACATTACGCCCCTCCCCACAGACACGTCGCTAACCGACTCAGGCCGAACATAGGCAATACCATGCTGAGAGAGCTGTATGTTACTCAGCCGGGCAATCCATTTACTTTACTAATGTGTGCTTAGTGTTGAATTTGACTGGAATATGTCAGTCGCACGATATGATTCGTACTGGCGCGACTCTAGAAAGGCGGCCTCTCAAGGATTTCATCTACAAGCGGTCATGCGCTGTCGTCCAGCGCAGGTCAACGTGACACTCAAGCTTCTCCGCAACCTCATGGACGCGCCGGAAGACTTCCGGAGTTACATCAAGTAGTGAGCATTGCCGCCTTTTTCTGCATGACGGTCCCGATCTAAGCATCCTCAAGCTTTGCAGGGCAGCAAATCATGCACATTACGTACGGTATCGAAACTCAGGACAGGAACGACCCGTACATTGAAGCGGCAGAGCACGCGGTGGCCATCGCTATTGCATGTCTAGTCCCAGGCTCGTTCTTGGTGGACCTCATTCCCATTCGTGCGCCATATGGCCTCTGCTCGACCCATTCTTGCCCTAACAACTTTTAACTTTACAGTGAAATATATTCCAGAGTGGTTCCCTGGTGCTGGATTCAAGAGACAAGCGCGAGAATGGCGGAAACATATCAGTCATACATTGAATGCGCCATTCGCTGCGATAAAGGCGTGTGCTAGCTCCTGCACCATCTCGTTTAGCAATAACCAACCAGTGATTTTTGAAAGGCCCGCGATGATATCCCCTCGGACTGCATGGCAAAGCCGCTCCTGGAGAAGATGCTCGACGGTCCCGGCGACCCTGTGTATGCGGAGCACGTCATAAAAGGCACACTCGCCTCTATGTATCTAGGTAGGCTTGCACAAACCTGGTGTTCAGCATCTCACTGAAAATTTCCCGCACAGGTGGAGCAGACACGGTTAGCACCTTTGTGTCCGTTCATTCAGACTTTTGCTCACAAATGGGAAGACGACATCTACACTGGAGACATTCCTCCTCGCTATGACGCTGCACCCTGAGGTCCTGCAAGAAGCCCAACGCTCTGTGGATCGTGTCTGCGAGGGACGACTGCCCGACTTCTCGGACTACGACGCACTGCCGTGGATACACGCTATCGTGAGGGAATGTCTGCGCTGGCGACCAGTTGTCCGGATGAGTGCGTCTCCTCTCTTTTCCCGCTTAAACAGTCTGGGTATGAACGACTGTCCAAACAGATGTGGCGCACATGGTGACCAAGGACGACGTCTACGAGGGCTATCATATCCCGAAGGGCTCGCTTGTCCTCGCAAATATCTGGTGCGCTTCGCAGACGTTTTCTCAGCTCCACCTGGCTCACACAGCATGCAGGGCGATCCTGCACGACCCTGAGGCATACGCCGATCCAGAAACCTTCAACCCGCGACGTTTCCTCCGACCACGCCCGGGCGCAGATGCTACAGACGCAGAGAACGTCGAGCTCGACCCGACGGTGCGCGACCCGATAGTGGTAGCTTTCGGCTTCGGACGGCGGATCTGTCCCGGGCGACACATGGCGTACCAGTCCCTCTGGGTCGCGGTCGCGAGCATAGCCGCTGCATTCGACATCACCAAGGCCGTCGACGCACACGGTGCGGTCATCGAGCCGAGTGGGGAGTACACGGATGGGCTTATCACGTAGGTCTCTTCGGATTTCGGTGAGGGAGAAGGTGCTGATGAGTGAATTCACAGGGCGCCGGAGCCGTTCAAGTGCTGTATCCGTCCGCGGTCCGCTGCGCATGCGGCGTGGGTGCAAGCTGCTTTAGAGCAAGATGCTTGAAACAGCTAGTTGTAGATAGCAATGTTTCATTGACCCGCCACGACAGAGATTCAAATATGACAACTGTGCCTTTCGCGACGGTTATTACAAGGACATGTATAAACCAGAAACAGCGCCGTACGTCATCATTGCCGCAGAGCTGATAGTAAGAACCGACCTGAAGCAAATCTCATTTCATACGATTTCCGCGCCTCCGTCCGAATGCCAGCATTCTCGGCAGCTTCCATATTCAATTAACCATCGTCGTTCCAGCTCGTACATGTTGGGGCCAGCTTAAACCGTGCAACCTAGACCAAAAGCACGAAAGGCCCGGGTGAGCGCCCGTTCGAGTTATGAGCTCGAGACTGGCGAGACTGCTGGGCTGTTCCGGGTCTGGGTCGACAACGGTTTGACCACGTGCAAGTTGGATATCGAGGCCAGGGCCTGCGTGACTTCCATGGCTGTGGAAGAGAAGCCAGAGTCTTCCGGCAGCATCTGTTCGACCAGTTCGCCTTCGTCTTCGTCGCACATACCCTTGTCGTCTGAGTCTCCATATGTCGACGGCGCCCGGCCGCCTGTTCAAGTTCGGTGCTCGCTCCCATGACTTCGCCGGTATTCTCACTTCTTCC